CTGATAACTCAGCGTTCTTGAGGTAGGCTCACATATTATTCAATGAAATAGTTCAAGTCCTTCACCAACACTGTAGTTCGCTGCGGACGGTTGGGGCGTGTCAGCCAGAATGAGTGTGCACAGCAACAAAGCCGTTCTCTGCCTTCTTGTTGAAGCGCGCATGCGACAAAAGTGGTAGAAAACGAGTAATACGAACGATACAGCATTGTCACTTGCTCGCTTCAACAACTGGTGGAGAACGAGTTTGGCACCGCGCCAAACGCAGCCGCACTGACACGCCCAACCGTCCGCAGTGAACTACACTATACCTGACTCCTGCAAACTGGCTGCGCTCAAAAAAAACTTTCCGAAGCAATTTGTTTTTTTTCGATAACTTTCAGCATCTATAGGCATTTTGACATTCCAGTTGGTTCGAGCATCTGGTGAAGTATTTGGATTCGAAGCTCGACTCAAACATCCCACTCACGTTCATGCTGGGTTTCTTCGTGTCATTCGTCGTCGGCCGATGGGGTTCTATTCTGAACGGGATAGGATGGATCGATGAGTAAGTCTCTTAATATCGTTTTCTGCATTCTTCCAATTTTTACGTGTCTGTATGTCCTACGAATAGTGGGATTCACATAACCCTGCAAGCGATGCAGCGTATGACGGGGCGTGGATCAGAGCGGTGCCTGAACAGCTTTTCCCCACCAATGATGCCTTCGTGAGTCCGCAACAACTAATGGGAAAGGCTGATATGGCGGTGTTACTGCTCACGTCCCCGCCCTATCGTTTGCAGAGATCGTGACTATACATTTGACGCTTTTGGTCTAAGAGACATTCACTGCTGCTTCTCAAACCACTGTTGTGCCATTTCGTGGCCAAGTTCCAGTATCGTCTATTTCAGTGCGTCTATCCTTTTTGCCTCGTACATACGAGGAGGAGAAGAGTCAACGAGGATTTTACGAAGAAATCTTGTTAGGTTGGGGTTACGTAGTATCTCGCTCTATTTAACTTGGAGAAGTCGTTGTTATTGCAGGTACATGGTTTTATGCCAAGCATTAGTTCTTCGCGATATTTCCATGCAGGTGCGGAAACGGTTTCCTACGATGGATACTCTTGCCGCATCAGGTAAACGACATATTCGCTGAAAAATTCTCTGTTTCCCTCTTTTCTTTTCCCATCTTCCAATATTCTTTCCTTTGGCTGTTTTGAAATTCCATCAGGTGGTTTTTGCGCAGCGCATTCTCAAATATATCTGTGGAACAGACACAAACCTGCCGAACTGGAAGAAAGCACGCGCACGTCCCACACGTCGCATTCCGTGTGCGGCTGAAAAAAAAGCGTTTGCTCGCGTTCGGTCTAAAGGCAAGCCCGCGATCAGGTATTCTGGGTAGTGGTGCTGAACTAGCGATGCCAAGATGCCAACAAAGTCAATAGTGCAGAAAAAACAGAAAAAAATGGTGGCAAAAGCCCTCATGGAACTCCTCTGCGAGCACACTTGTACGAGCAGAGGAAGAGCAAAGAGAGTGACGAGATCACCGGGCGAGTGCTGTTGTGGTCGATGTGGTTGCGCCATTGATCACAGCTGATTTCCTGTTGCCAATAATGTCTCTGCCGATGTTTTTTAGCAGGTTCCATTATGGATAGCAGAGCTGCGGCAGGGTTCTATGAAAACGGCTTGGGCCAGTTGGAGGAACGACAATGTTCCGCTTTCCTCCCTCACCTTTGCGCCGCAAAAAAAGGTGCAATCGCTGCCTCTGCGGGCCTGTCTACCTGCTCACGAAGGGAGAGAAAGATGTCGCTGATTGTGGGCAGTGCCTTCAAGATAGGTTCGGAGTAACAAAGTATCCTATATGCTTCCTTAAAAAACCATCCTCTTCGATCCCACACGGGCCCGTCTTCTTGCGGGATATCTGCGGTATGGGGTACACGTAATTTGCGGGATTGTGTCACGGAACCTGAGAACATAAATGTCAACCAGTGTGAGGATATTTGGCACTACTGACTTATTACGCACCAATCATCGAAAATCAGGCAGAGATTTCACCAGTTTTATCCCCTGAAGGTGTGCTTGACTAAGAATTCGTTCTCGGGGCAGTTGGATCCCTCGAAAACCAGCACCACATCTGTTTGTCTTGGGACCGCCTCGCCACCCCCTCCCCCTACATTCACTTGCACACAATGCTACAATTCCACTTTGATACGTTGATAGCTCCTCTTCAAATTTATTTTTGCCACCCTGGCACAAGTATTACATCCACTTGGGGGCTAAGGACTAAGGTGTGGGAAGCTTGGGAGAGAAAAGCGAC